ATAAATGAATGTAGTACTGCATATAAAAACAAATCTAAAATTAAATAAAACTTTTTATTATTTTTTTTCCCGCAAAATATTTATTCAAGAGGAATAATTTTGCATTTATTTGATATTAAATTGATGTCTCCTTCTATAATTTCTACATTAGATGAAGCAGTTTTGATTTCTTCCAATGATGTGCAACCACAAAAAACAGCTGAATATATATTTTTAATGTGTGAATGAATTATGCAAGATTTCAATGACGTGCAGTGTGCAAAAGATGAAGGGGAGATAAAATTAACCTCACTAGGTATTTCAATACATATCAATGAAGAGCATCCATTGAATGCACCAAAAAAGATTTGTTTTAAGTCTGAAGGCAATTTTATTTCTTTTAAGCTTTTACAGCCATAAAACATGTATTCACATATTGTATCCAATGATGATGGTAGGATGCATTTTGTCAATGAGGTGCAATTATATAGAACACCTATTCCTATTTGGTGCAAGGTAGAAGGAAATTTGATTTCTGTCAATGAAGTACATTCTTTGAAAGCATATGATTGAATAGATTTCATATTCGTGCCGAGTTCAATTGATTGTAATGATGTGCATTGACAAAATGCTTCTTTGCCAATATTTTCAATGGTTGGAGGAACGTTTATTGTTCTGAGTGAAGTGCATTGCTTGAAAGCTGCTTCTTCAATTGTTTTAATTTCAGATTTAATTGTTACTTTTGTTAATGATGTGCATTGGTCAAAAACTTCTTTTTTTATTGAGAGTACTTTTTCTGGAATTGTGATTTCTTTCAATGCCTTACAATTTTGAAATGCACCACTTCCAATTGATGTCACTGATGATGGAATTGAAATCTTCACCAATGAAGAACATTCACTGAAAGCATATTTTTTAATTTCCTTGACTGATTCTGGAATCGTGATTTCAATTAATGATAGGAATCCTAAAAAAGCTTTTTCTTCAATAATGATGTGAGCATTGCTTGGCAAATTGATATATCGCAATGATGGACACTGTGAAAATGCACATTCTTCAATTGAAAAGTTGCCATATTTGTCATTTTCTGAGGTATCAAAGTTTACATCTATAAGTGACATACAACCACAAAATGCTCTCTTACCAATTGATGTTTTGCCTGTTAAATTTACTTGTTTCAATAATTTGCAAAATCCAAATGAAAATTCGCCTGTTTTGCTCACTGATGATGGAATTGAAACATTTGTCAATGAAACGCATCCATTGAATGCTTTGTTGCCAATATAAGTTATTGATTCTGGAATTGATATTTCTACTAAAGAATGACATTCTTCAAATGTTGAATCTTCAATTCTTGTGATTGATGAAGGAATCTTTATTTTTTGAAGCGAATAGCATTTGCTAAATGCACCTGCACCTATTGATTTGATATTAGGATGTATTTCGAAATCTACCAAATTTGGGCATGCAAAAAATGATTTGGAACCAATTGATGTCACTGATAAATGTATATTTACTTGTTCTAAATAAGTGCAAAATTCAAATAGTCCATCTGATATTGAAGTAACGTTTTCAGGGATTGTAAATGTGGTTAGTGATTCGCACTTTTTAAAAGCTTCTTTTCCGATCTTGGTTACTGATGAAGGAATTGAAATATGCTTCAACAATGAACAGCCATTGAACATTGAATCTTCAATTGATATTATTGTCGATGGGATTTCAATTTGCTCCAATGATTTACAATTTTGAAAAGCATGGGACTGAATTTCATTCAAACTAGAAGATAAGTTCATTGACCTTAATGATTTGCATCCTTCAAATGCATGAGACATGATTTTAGTAACAGATAATGGGATTTCAATTTGTCTTATTGACTTGCAATTTGTAAATGCAAAGGATGGAATTTCTTTCAAACCAGATGGCAGTTTTATTGTTTTCAATGATGAACAGTTTTCAAAGGCATGAGATATAATTCTAGTAACTGAAGATGGGATTATTAACTGTTTTAATGATTTACATCCATAAAAAGCACTTTCATCAATTAGGCTGATTGATTCTGGAATCTTCAATTTTGTAAGCGATGAACAATTAGAAAATATTTGCTTACTAAGAACTGAAATGCTGTTTGGTATTATAATTTGCTTGAGTGATGAACATCCAGAAAAAGCGCCATCGCCTATTTTGTTCAATCCTTCATGAAGGTTGATTTGAATCAATGATGAGCACATGCTGAAACAATGAGGTGAAATTTCAGATAAACCGGAAGGAATCCGAAATTGTTTGATAGATTTACAACCGTAAAATGCACTTTGTCCTATTTCAACAACTGATTCAGGAATTGCAATTTCTTCCAATGATGTGCAGTTATAAAATGCATTATCTTCGATTTTTGTAACAGATGAAGGAATTGCCACTTTTTTGAGTGTTGAACAATTCATAAAAAGATTCTTTGGAATTGTTTCCATTTTATCTGAAATTTCAACTGTTTCGCATCCTATCAAAACTTTATCACCGAGTTTAATTTCAGATGAGAGTATTTCAATTTTTTTCAATGATTTACATCCTTCAAATGCATTATCACCTATTTCAGCCGTTGGAGAACTGATTACTAATTCTTCAAGGTTTGCATAATTTCCTATTTTTTGTATTTTGAGTACTTGTGAATTAAAAGTCAGACGTTTAAATCTTAATATTAATTCAATAACATTAAATCCTTCCATATTTTTTGCCTTTTCATATAAAGTGACGAAGTCTTTTGGAAAGAAATTGAAATTGTAACTCTTCATAGCTGCTCTCACAATGTTTTCATCAAGGTCATCAATTTGCAAATAATTATTGATGATATAATAGGCGATATTATTGTGATGACATTTAATCGCTTCTTCCAAACTTGGCATGTAATTTGATGAATATGGATTGATTTTAAAATCTTCAAGAAGATGAATTATTTGTGAACTTTGACCATGAATTGCATAAAGCCAAATGTTGGGAGTGATTAAACCATTTTTTGCAAGTAAATAATGAAATATTTCAATGGATCCAAATAAAGCTGAATATTCAATTAATGTTGGCTCTGAATAATTAATCTGTCGCCTAAAGTTAAAACGTGAAGCCTCAGGAATATCAATATGTCGTTTTAAATTCAAATGTGAAGGCGGAATTCTGTTTGGTAAATTTGAACTGTTTACTGCTATGAATTTTGCAAACTCTCTAATTGAATCTTCACGAATTAATTTGCATAAATATGATTCATTTTCACCTTCAAGCCATTTTCTTTCTAATTCTTCAAATTTGCTTAAATCGTTATTGAATTTTTTGCGAATCATTTTCTGCAATGACTTCGCTTTTCGTTTACTCATGAAATTTTTGATGATTGGATAATAATAGTGCGAAAGTTTGAAGGTACTTTTCTTGTCTTTTGCAAGTAATGAATAGATAAAAATATCATCAGGTATAATGATTTGTTTTTCGAAAAGTAAATACATAAATTGGTTGTTATTTTGAAAAATTTCATAAATTTCGCTACATGTAAATAATTGTCTGATTTCGTTAGAAAAATAATTAATAACAGCCAAAATTTTGTCAAAAAACATCGCGGATCTATGGTGGTTGTTTAAAATAGCTGAAATAAGATGAAGCAAGTCATGTAATTTCCAAGGGATTTCTTTACACTTTTGATTTTCAAATATTTTTATAAGTTGGCTTAGTAAATCTTCTGTATCGCTATCTTCAATAAACCCAAGAAGTAAATGTTGAATTTCTTGGGTTTGAGAAATATATTCTTCTATTTCCATTAAAAAAAAAAAAATGGAATAAAATGAAAAATTTTTCCTAAAAGTTTGACCCAAATTCCAGAAGGAGGTAAAGTTGATGGAGCAAAAGAATTAGTTTCAAGTTTTCCATATGCAGGATATGGTGGTCCTGCTCCAAATGAAAGGTCTGGTAAGCATAGAAACATTTTTACTATTTATGCAATGAATTTGGAAAAATTAGAAATTAAAGAAACAGAACCTTATCTAATATAAAATGGAATTAAAAGACATTCTATTTCTAGTTCATCAATAACAGCTATATATGAGAGATAAATAAAATTTGATTTTTTTCTTTTTAATTTGTTTTCTTGTATAATTTTTTTCATTTTATTCCTAACTAAGAAATACTTTATATTTATTATTTTTTTGCTATATTATTTCTTAAGATATTATTATTTATTGAAGTTCATCTAATTTATAAACTTTTTCTGTACGCAATTCAATTATTTGAATAAACAAATTAATGAATCAGCAAAACGTTCATAAGATATTATTTTTATTTACAGTATCCCTGCAACTTATTTCCATTGTCCTTCTTTATGTTATTTCATTCATTTGGCTATTTAGAATTTATCCTTATTTTACAAATGGCGTAGGAATTACATATTGGATCTACAGAATACTTTCATGGCAAATCATATACATAAGTATTAATTTTCTTATTTATCTCATTATAATTTCTTATTATTGTGTAATCCTTAAATGCGACAAAACTAAATTTTTAAGCGCAAAAATAATCTTCATTTTCACGATTAGCGGAGTTGTTCTAAACGCACCAAATGTTGGCTCTGGATTGTGGCTTTCATTCCAAGCAATTAAAAGAGACAATACTATAACCAATAGATGCTATATATACATACTAAACAGATTAATTGGCGCTGATTCAAAGTATTTTATGCCCGTATACAAAAAGTGGAGAGATAATTTTGTCAGTCGCGTTTATGATGAGGATGGCCACATAACAAAGTATTTGTGTGAAAATGTGAGTGTTCCAATGCTTGTTTCTGCTCTTGCTTTAATTGTGGTCATCTGTTTGCATTGTGCTTGCATCTATCTCACGTGTAAGCATTTGATATCAAACACGAGCATTAATGTAAATGTTTCGCTTAATGATCCTTTAGCCGTTTCATTTTCTTCGGTAAATCGAAGGAATGGCTATACATGACATTTGTGTACTATAAAGCATTAATTTATTATGTTAACATTTAATTTTCTAGTGAGGGATCGAACCTCAATCTTCGGCTTCAAAGGCCAACGTGCTATCCATTACACCACAAGAAACTCTTCGAATAAATGATAAATATATATTTGTATTCTTTATTTTATTTGTTTTTCAAGCATTTAAAAAAAAAAAAAAAGCTAAAAATTTTCTAGTGAGGGATCGAACCTCAATCTTCGGCTTCAAAGGCCAACGTGCTATCCATTGCACCACAAGAAACTCTTGTTTATTATGATTGATTTCAATTCATATGCTTCACTATTCAATAACAAAAGAAAAAAAAAATGAATGAAAATGTATAAATTTAATAAAAATCAAATCACAGTTCCATATAATTCAAATGATTCAATCAGCAGGTAGTCATTGCCTTTCCAATTTGAACCAGTTTGACGCATTTGAATAAATCGAAATTCTTTCGACTTTGTGTTCTTGATTTTGAAAGTATGACTCAGGCTTCTTCCATTTAAGTAAGAACAGTTGCTCTGCTCGTCTAGAATTTCCCAGTTTTCGCCATCTTTGGAGCCCTCGATGACCCAATCTTTGGGGTGACAGTAGTTAGAGCCCCAGCTTATTGATCTTATTGAGTAATCGGTTGGTATAACTGAATTATTTTTGAATTCATAACGAATCCAAGTGTTTGGAGCATTTTCTGAAGCAAAATATTTGCTCGGGTCGTTAAAAATGGTGGCATTCTGAGGATTTTGGTCTTCTCGATTACATGTGGATGCTGTAATTTTAATTTCTTTTGTTATTTGGCCGTTTGTTTGCTTTTGAAAATGATTTATAATTCCATTGAATAAATTTTCACCGGTATATAAAAGTGAAGTTCCCTCTTTTGATCGTTTTTTATATCGTTTTTCATTTTCTATGTTGGGCTTCACTTTTTGCTTCATCCTAATTGATAATCTTCTCCATAATTCACTTGTAATGTCATTAAAATCATAAATTTCAAGAAAGTCTGAAATCGCTGATGATGAGATATTTTCAAAATAAACATACTCGTATAAAACTGAATATTTTGAATTGTTTAGGTAAAGTTGGTTGAGAAAAGTAAGAAGTTGGTCTTCATCTGTCAATTGAAGTTGTGGATTATTAATAACTTCGGAAATGATATGGATTGATAGTTGTAAAAGTTCTTTTTTGTTGGTATCATATAAATCATAGAAATTGGAAGATATGAAATTAATAGCTTCTTGAAATTCTTTTGAATAAAACTTGGTATTTTGTTCGAATTCACGTAATAATGAAAAAACGTTGTCAACTGTTATTTTTGTTGAATAATTTAATTCGATTGATTCATTTCCAAGAATTTTAATAACTTCATAAATAAAAGGAAATTCATTGTATGGAATATAAATATCATCAAAATTAACAAGATTAAGAATAAATGAAAAATTTCCTTTTTTGGTTGTATTAATAGTAAAATTATCGCATGTTGGATCGTTTTCATGAATCTGGCATATAATTGGAGACAAAAGATCAGAAATTAAGCGAGTGGTTTTGAATTCTTGGCCATTCACAATGAATATGAATTCATCATTGTAGGTTTTTAGAGGAACTTTTAAAATACTTGATGAGTTTAAATGAATTTTCTTTGAATCATTTTTATTCATTTTGATATTGTAAATTGTAAGTATATTTGGTCAGATATTTTATACCGATTTATATATGAATATGTCATTTCTGATTTCTATTTTAAATCAATAATATATGATTTGCAAATAAGCATAGCTTATTGTGCAGCAAACAATCATTTAGTTAATGTCGGATATTCAATAATATCAATTCTTAATCGAACAAAATGCAAACTTCATGTTTACTTGTTCACTTTCAAAATGTTTAATATAAAGAACACAATTTTTAATAAACTCGAGATTGATACCAAAGGAAAAGTTAAATTTTTTATTGTCAAGAGAAGATTTAGAATCAATGGAATTTTTGGAATCCATTTACGAATGTCCGTATTTTAATGATTGATAATATATCAGTGATCAAAGTTATTTAATTAGACACAGATATATATGGTTGTGATGATATAAATTTGTTATGGATTATTCAAAATAAGTAATAATTTAATAGAAACTGCGATCTACCGACTTCCATCGACATCCAGTGTTGTGCCTGAGCATTTAAGGATACTAATTGAGAAAAAAGAATTCACTTTGATGAATAATTCTGGATTGAGCAGCTAACATTTATTTCACTAGTGGCGTTTTGTACATCTACATTGAAGAGATGAAGAAGATAAACTTTTCAAAAAGGCGCGTTGAGTGCTATCGGCAAAATAGAACTTTCTTCCCTGATCAGGACATGCTAAATGTAATTACTGGCCGCAGGAGAATCGTTAATGATGGGAGGTTCAACAATCCCGTGTTCGGTGCCAATTCAAAGTGCATTTTAATAGAAAAAAGTGGCACATCCTGTTGTTGTTAGGCACCTAGATGCTGTCGATGAGTACTATAGATAAATGTCAATGATAAATAGAACTGTTTGGCCGCCTTTTTTTATTTGTTCTTTATGTATTGATAAATGATTCATGTCTTATATTCGATGTAATAACTTATTTTGAAATTTTAAATTTTTTGAAAAAATTAAATAAAATAAAGAATACAAATATATATTTATCATTTATTCGAAGAGTTTCTTGTGGTGTAATGGATAGCACGTTGGCCTTTGAAGCCGAAGATTGAGGTTCGATCCCTCACTAGAAAATTTTTAACTTTTTTTTTTAAATGCTTGAAAAACTCAAATAAAATAAAGTATACAAACATATATTTATCATTTATTCGAAGAGTTTCTTGTGGTGTAATGGATAGCACGTTGGCCTTTGAAGCCGAAGATTTTCAGTTGTATGTTAACAGGTTATTTGTCATAATTGAGTTTTTCGGCGGTATGTTAACTGCTTTTGTTTTTTTATGTATACAAAAACTTAAATTTTTGTTATGATACCTTTATATGAGCAATTGGATCAAATTGGAAAAAAAACAAACTATGTTAGTATTTTTGTAATAACCGTTAAATGTATTCAAAAAAAATTCTAGAATAACGGTTATTTATTTTTTTAGTAATCAAAACGATGAGTTTGAAAGAATTTAAGGATATCCGCTCACTTGAATTTAGATATACTCTCAGATATGCGATCAACTTGATAAATAACGAGTTATTTCAAGATGTCCAGGTACCATTTAAAGAGCGATCTGACCATATTAAAAAAATTATAGAGTCAATGGGGAAAATGGATATGAAAGAAAGGAAATTATTTACTGATTTGATTGATTCAGGAATTTCTTTACTTTTCTATCTAAATTATAGAAATATTTTGTGTGACCAAATATATTCAGAAAAATACTATGATGCTCTCCAAGGGAAAGACAAATTAATGGTAATGAAATGGATGTTTTCTATTGCATGTGGACTTTATGTTCTTGTTAAAAAGAATGTTTATATACCAATATTAGACAACACGATTTTAATTGATCCCAATGATGATAGCTGTATGGTATTTTTAGGAGATAATCTTATCAGAATTTCAGAAGACATTAATTATCATTCTTTATTTATTCCTCCTGGAGAATTAAGGTCTAAAAAGCCCTTAAAAGCTAGTTTTCAAGAAAAAATGCATATTTTTGCTAAAAAGTATGTAAATTGGGCATCCTTAATTATTCAGCAGCTTTTAAGTTGTTATTTAAATTCACTCTTCCATAATTTAGAAAAGAAAGCAAGGAATGAACTCGTTCAATTAATAAAGAGTAGCAACAATGGTGCATGTCAAAACAGCATTCAAACATCAATGAATGATAATCAAAGAATAAAATTGCAGTTATTTGATATAATTCGTTTCTTCCTTAAAAAAGAAAATTGCCTTGATGGTGTAAATTACTCTGAATTTGAAGATTGGCTCCATTCTAACCTGGGCATATCAAATTTAAATAAAAATAATGAAACTTTTTCTGATCAAGTCATTCAAAAATTAATTGACATCACAAAAATTGAAATATTCAAAATATCAAACCTTGAAACATTCATCAATCTAGCCAAAAACACAGTGTTTGAACAAATAATTATGAAAAATTGTGAAGTAATTTTGGATGAATGCGAAAAAATGCTTCCAAATGAATTACAAAAAAAATATGAAGATGACAAAACAGAAAACAACAAATATGAAGTTATGGAGCTGTGTTTAAAGCGTGTTTACAATAATAATACTGATTGTAAGTCAGATAGTTTGCGTTTGTTCACTGTTGATGGGATGAGCAATGACAAATCATTTTATATTAAAATTTTGAAGAAGAAGAAAATTGTCAGATTTGTTCTTGATAAAAACGTTAGAATGAACTCTGATTATTTTGTTTATTTCAATGATGATCCGCTCTTTGCTCATTGCTACGAAGACACATTTCCAATTGAAATGACATTTTATCCATTTCTCAATGTTTATAATATTTTGTACAATAATTCTTCATTAAAAAGAATCAATTACGAAACGAAAATAAAATGGTTATTTCATCTTTCCAAAGCATTGACAATCATTCATGAAAACGGTTACACAATTGAAAATTTCAATAGCCAGAATATTTTTATTAATTCAAACTTATTTGGGCACTTTTACCCTTCAAATCTGATCTCAAAAGAATATATTTGTAATGATTTGGAAATGGATTTTTCAAGTGAATTTGATTATATTAATTCTTATTATGCTCCTGAAGTAATTGAGTTTATTCATAACAATAATTATTATATTTATAATAATCATGAAAAAAGTCTTGTTTATTCTTTTGGTATTTTTATTTTGGAGTTGTTTTTTGGAATCAAGCCTGGTCTTTGTTTAGCCAATTTGACTCCTAAAGAAAAGTATAAATTATTATTAAAAGAAAGAGCAATTCCTGTTAAAACTGGAAACAAAAATGATGATTTGATTCCTCTTGTTCAATCATGCCTAAACACAAATCCAAATAAAAGGAAAACATTTAACGAAATAACAATTTTCATATCTTCAAAGTATTCAACTATTGAATGTAATGAAAGTCAAACAATTGATTTTTTTTACAATGACCTTGAAACT